AGCTAAATATAAAAGAACTATAAAAGCTCTTAAATAGAAAAGGTTTTAAACTTTAATTTACTTCTCCCTTTAATTCTAAAGCTAAAGGAGGCGCTAGGAGGATTAATTAAACGCTGTTTAATAAGATTAGACCTCTGCTATTCAAAGCTAAAATGCTAAATAAGCTCTAGATAAAAGCTCTACTTATAGCTATCTATCTATATAATAGAACTCTATATAGTTCTATTAGCTTTTGAACTTCTTTTAAAGCTAAATATAGACATAAGCTAAATATTAGTAATATTAGAATCTAGAGATCTCTCGTATATTAAAAAGAGCTAAAAGAATTCATTAGTAAACTTAATCCTTAAGTATAGCCGTACCATCTTACTAGCTATCTTGATAATAATCTATATTCACTAATCGATCTAAAGTTAAATAAGATCGTAACTATAAAAGATATATAAATACTTAAAGAAACGTTTAATAATTAAGCTTACGATTAAGAATTATAACTTAAAAATAATTAAGAAATAGATTAAAATACTAATTAAAACCTCTATCTAAAGAAGGATTAGATAAAATATAATTAAATAAAAATAGTTAGAAGAAATCTAATTGTTCTTATTAAGACTAGAGCTAGAATAACAGAGTTAGCTCAATTAACTAAAGTCTTCATAAAGAATATTATTCTAGAAAAGATCTTATTTACCTCTAAGTATATTACTAATCTAAAAAACTATACTTAAGTTCTTAAATATACTAATAAAGATTAATATCTATTAGTAATATAAGAAGAGTTAGATTAGCTATAAAAGAAGAATACTTAGACGCTTATACTAAGACCTTCTAATTAACTAATACTTAAAGGATAATAGGTACTTAATAGAAAATAATAATAAAAAAACGATTTTATCTTTAAAGCTTATTAGATAGCTAAGAGCTTTTAATAAGAGTTTAGTATTAATTATTAAGAAACGTTTACTAATACTACTAGGCCTAATCTTATTTGATTACTACTAGTAATCTTAGTAGCCTAAGATTAAACTATATAGAGCTAAGGTATTAAATCAGCTTTTCTAAACGCTCTTATTAATACTACGATTTATATTAAGTAACTAGAAGAATTTTAAGACCTAAAATATCTATAATACGTTTACCTACTTAATAAAGCTCTATATAAGTTAAAATAAGCTAGTAGATAGTAGTAAAAGCCTCTATTAAGCTTACTATATTAACTAGGCTTTTAATCTCTATTAATTTATATCGCTATATATATTAATTAAATATAGAAAATTAATATCGCGGCTTATATAGATAATCTACTTATATTTGAATAGATAAATAAAGAATTAAATAGCTATTTTATAATCTATTAGAGATATTAGAGCTTAAGATTAAAGACCTTAGTAATATAACTAAATTTCTTAGTATCTAAATTACTTAATTTAATTAATTAATCTATATTAGCTAAGAGAGCTATCTTTAAAGACTACTTACTCGTTTTAATAAGTATAACGTTAAGCTAAGAAAAATACCTCTATAATAAGGCACTAAGCTTACTAAAAATAATAAGATAGTAACGCTAAAAAATACTAATATATTTTAATAGTAAATTAGCTTACTAATCTATCTATCTCTTTTTACTTAGCTAGATATTACTTACGTAGTTAATCTTCTATCGC